CAACAGATGACCACAAGCTTCAAAACTCTTTATAATAGAAAAGCTCTTGCCAGTCCATGCTTATCATAGAGCTCTTTCTGCCCCTTCTTGCATAGACATGGGGTCGCGCATTGTAGTTCCCTCGCCCCCACCATGGCACCACACAACTCCTCCTCCTGGCCACCATCTTGTTAGGCAATCCCCAAAAGTGTATCCCTCTTAGTGACCTCCATGATGCTCCACCGGCGATAGCGGCTTGCTCTTCATTGATGTAATCAGCCAACTCAAGAGAGGAATAGAAATGAGTAAGGTGGTGCGGGGTTGCGTCTATTAGTGATGAGAAGCGGGGAATGAGGAGGTGCCGTCATTGTGTGGGGGTCAACAACGGGCAGCTCGTTGTAAGAATAGCACGTGGTCGTCAATGTCCCAGATTGCCTCGTGTTGGGATGGGAACGAGCGAACGTCAGTTGGTTATTATGATGTTCGTAAAAAGGAACCCAAATATGTACCGCATGTCAACTAGAGGGCAGGTCCTCCAGTGAACGTTTTGTTCGCTGGGGAGGTACATTCCAGCAAACTAAATTTCCCCATGTGGAAGGTTCGCTCGACCACGGTCCAACGCACCCCCCAGCTGGCCCAGATAGTACGCGGCGAAAAAAGCTAGGCCTAGTGAATTGTTTTTTAATACCATCAAAAAATAATAAAAATGATGATGCATAAAAGGCAGAGAACATAAATTTACAAATTGCTATGCTCTAAAAATATGAAAAATGCCTATATTTTCTTTGCCGAAAACAAGAAATAAATTTACCATGCTATAGACTAAAAAATGTCATGCTCTTCATAAAAGAAAAGGGCATGCTCTTTATGATAAAAAAATTGACATACTCGTACTAACTAAAATTGTCATGCTCTACCAAAATTACATGCTCTTTATAAATAAAAACGCCATCCTCTTTAAAATAATAAATGGCATGCTTTATAGAAAAAATGCCAAGCTCTCTGTAATAAAAAAAGTCATGCTCTACAAAAAATGCCACGCTATTTAAAAAGTATCTTGCTCTTAATAAAAAATGACATGTTATTTTCAAAAAGTGCCATGCTATTTAAAAAAGGTCATGCTCTTAATAAAAATGATATGCTCTTAACAACAAAAATGACATGCTATTTTAAAAAATGGCATGCTATTAAAAAAATTTCATATTACTTAAAAAAATTGGCGTGCTATTCAAAAAACGACATGTAATTTTTTTAAATGCCATGCTCTTAATAAGAAAATGTTATGGTCATTAAAAATAAAATGCCATGCTCTTAATAACAAAAATGTCATGCTCTCACAAATAAAAATGCCATGGTATATACATCAAATGCCATGGCTTCTTCAAAAATGGCATGGTTCCTACACAAAAATGCCATGCTACCTATAATATAATTGCATGTGGCAAGTTTAGAAAATCCCCCCTCTAAACAAAGGTACTTGGCAATAAACAAATATAACTTGCACATGGCAATTTTTTAGAAACATGTTCTCTAAAAAAGCATGACAACCTTTTGGATTTTTAATGATTTTTTTCTTTTAAAAAGATGGAATCTTTTTTGGAAATTTTCTGGATTTTTCAGTTGAAAATTTCAAGTGAAAAAGGAATTCATATTAGCTTAAAAAATGTGGCAAGTTTGATCTGAAATCTGTAGCTGGCGTCGAACCTCTCCCTGCTTCAAGATTCATGAGCAAGATCCAAGGGTTAGTGGTGCGTTCGCTCGAGATCATCAAATACCTGATGTTCGTCAGTTAGATATTCCGTATAAAAAAAGGCTCCCGTGAGGCCCACTCAGAACAAAGGGCCCTGAAAGGCCCATAAACGAAGGGAAGCCGAAAACAAAACACATCGACGTTCTTCCTACCGAGATCAGTCAGCATGCATACGACACGTCAGGGCATATTCTTAGCCGCCAGATCAGCAAAACGCACGGCTGAGATCACCGGAGGGACGCGTCCAGACGTCCCACGACGATCGGAGTCGGAGACCGCCTCCGATTCATCCTGCAGCACGCACGCTATGCCGCTATATATACGAACGACGGCAAAGCAAAACAGATTGATCAAATCAAATCAAACCAAGCACAACGAGTCAGTCGAGATGGCTCGTGCCCGATGTGGATGTTCGCTACGCTCGTCGCGGCATTGCTTCTCGTGATGCCAGCTTCTTCCGCTGCGCCCACGGGAGGCGACACGGGCACCGTGATCGGCATCGACCTCGGCACCACCTACTCGTGCGTCGGCGTCTACCGGAACGGCCGCGTCGAGATCATCGCAACGACCAGGGCAACCGGATCACCCCCTCCTGGGTCGCCTTCGCCGACGGCGGCGAGCGGCTCATCGGCGAGGCCGCCAAGAACCAGGCGGCCGCCAACCCTGAGCGCACCATCTACGATGCCAAGCGCCTCATCGGCCGGGACTTCGACGACGCCGTCGTGCAGCGGGACATCAAGCTGCTGCCCTACTCCGTCGTCGACCGCAAGGGCAAGCCGCACATTCAGGTGCGGGTCAAGGACGGCGACGTGCGCGTCTTCAGCCCCGAGGAGGTCAGCGCCATGGTGCTCTCCAAGATGAAGGAGACCGCCGAGGCCTACCTCGGCGAGAAGGTCACGCACGCCGTGGTCACCGTGCCGGCCTACTTCAACGACGCGCAGCGCCAGGCCACCAAGGATGCCGGCGTCATCGCCGGGCTCAACGTCCTCCGCATCGTCAACGAGCCCACCGCTGCAGCGATCGCCTACGGCATCGACGAGAAGGGGCCCGAGAAGAACGTCCTGGTGTTCGACCTTGGCGGCGGCACCTTTGATGTCAGCGTGCTGTCCATCGACAATGGCGTGTTCGAGGTCCTGGCCACCAACGGCGACACTCACCTCGGCGGCGAGGACTTCGACCAGCGCTTGATGGACTACTTCATCAAACTGATCAAGCGGAAGCACGGCAGGGACATCAGCGGCGACCTGCGCGCGCTGGGGAAACTGCGCCGGGAGTGCGAGCGCGCCAAGCGTGCGCTCAGCAACCAGCACCAGGTGCGCGTTGAGATCGAATCGCTCTTCGACGGTGTCGACTTCTCGGAGCCGCTCAGCAGGGCACGGTTCGAGGAGCTCAACAGCGACCTTTTCCGGAAGACGATGGTGCCGGTGAAGAAGGCCATGGCGGACGCTGGGCTCAGCAAGGCTGACATCGACGAGATCGTGCTCGTCGGCGGCAGCACCAGGATTCCCAAGGTGCAGCAGCTCCTCAAGGACTACTTCAACGGCAAGGAGCCCAACAAGGGGGTCAATCCGGACGAGGCCGTCGCGTACGGCGCCGCCGTGCAGGCCAGCATCGTGAGCGGACACGTCGACGAAAACACCAAGAAAATGATCCTGATCGATGTCGCGCCGCTTACACTAGGCCTGGAGACGGTCGGCGGTGTGATGACGAAGCTGATCCCGAGGAACACGGTGGTGCCGACAAAGAAGACACAGGTGTTCACGACGTACCAGGACAAGCAGACCACCGTGTCCATCAAGGTGTACGAGGGCGAGAGGAGCATGACCAAGGACAACAGGCTCTCCTCGGCAAGTTTGATCTCTCTGGAATCCCACCAGCTCCGAGGGGCGCACCGCAGATCGAGGTGACGTTCGAGGTGGACGTGAACGGCATCCTGCACGTGAAGGCGGCGGACAAGGGCACCGGCAAGTCGGAGAAGATCACCATCACCAACGAGGGCGGCCGGCATAGCCAGGAGGAGATTGACCGGATGGTGCGCGAGGCAGAGGAGTTCATGGAGGAGGATCGCAAGGTCAAGGAGCTGGTCGACGCCCGGAACAAGCTCGAGACATACGTGTACGACATTAAGAACACGCTCGACGGCAAGATGGCCGACGCCATGGAAGGAGATGAAAAGGAGAAGGTCCAGGATGCAGTGAGGGAGGTGAACGAGTGGCTCGACGACAACCCGGAGGCGGAGAAGGAGGACTACGATGAGAAGCTCCGGGAGCTTGAAGACGTGTGCAACCCTGTCATCTCGGCGCTCTACCAGAGGTCTGGAGGTGCACCGGATGATAACAACACCGGAGAGGACGATCATGATGAACTCTAGGCATGGGCAGCTTGCTAGATTTTTTATTTGTATTTATTTTTTGCGAGGGAGCTTGCTAGATCTTTTGTATTACTATAATTTTATTTTTATCTGTTTTGCATCCTGTAATATATTTTTTTCGAGAAACTTCCTGTAATATAAACTTGTGATGTAATTAATCCTCTTTTATAGCTTAGTAATCACTAGTTCAATGTAATTTTCCCCAATCTCTTTGTTTCAATGAGTCACTGGAAAGCAGGTATAACTCTAGCAAATCTCTAGATTTGTGTGTACTTGCTCACTATCCAAATTCTCGTCAAAACTTACGTTTTGCCCTGAATTTGTAGTGACCGCCCCCGCAAAAAAAAAAAGAATTTGTAGTGACCAAAGTACTCATCTTGTGAGAGTTGACTTTTCGAGCATTTATCTCAAAAAAAATCACATGGTGGGCTTAGATTGGACACTTGCAGACTATCGCCCTTCCAAACAAGCATATAGGTTAGAAGGCTTAAGCATTGATTTTATGGTTGCTGAGGTGGTTCCAGATAGCATGATATTGAACTGGGACGCGGTTTTTTTCGTTCGCGTTTCATGCGCAGCGAAAATCCACACCGTTATTTGATGCATATATGGATCAGTGTTGCATGCAAGAGAAGGACGTGGTGGATCCACTTAGACGTTGAGCCCACAGGCTAGTATGTTGCATGTCAGTTTTTTCCTGCGCATGTCCTGCGCTCTTTTCCCTCCCATGCTCACTTTTAAGTGACGGGCCAGCTCCTTAATTTAAATCGTCATGCATAACTGACGCTGCTAATTACTGTGGGGGTGAACAGAATAATACTGTAGTATAAATTTTATCATGTGCATAAGGATTTTTATCTGGTATGCATAACTAACCACTAATCACAAGTATAAATAGTCATAAGAACTCTAGGAAGGATGTGTTTGAACTTTTGCATGAAAATCAGAAGAACTTTTGAAAAAACCAGTAAAAAACTAAAGTTCTTTGAGTTTTGAATATAAAGTTCAAAGAAGAGTTAATAAAGTTCTCTGGCTATTTTTCAACAATTATGAGATATGCCAAAGTTTTTCAAAAGTTCTTCTGTTTTTCATGGCAAAGTTCAGAGACCAATTTAATAAAGTTTTGTTCTCTTCGAAATTATTTAAAGAACGTTCTTCTAAACCAATTTAAACAACAAGATATTTGATTTTTGTGGCATTTAAATTCTGTTTGTGTGCTGGTCTATAGCCACCATCAAAGGTAATAAGGGGAATTACTCATGTAATTGGGCTGGAGATTAATGCTGGACATGCAAGAATCTACTCCCTCCGTTCCAAAATAGATGACTCAGCTTTGTACTAGTTTTAGTACAAAGTTAGTACAAAGTTGGGTCATCTATTTTGGAACGAAGGGAGTAGCACCTATCCGCACCTACTACCTGGCATGCATGCGAAAGAGAAGGACACGGTTGCAGATGCCAATGTCAGCTTTCTCACATGCATCTTTCGATCATGAGCAGTTTTGGGCGGTGGAGATTGGCGCTGTGGATGGAACGCGAATGTAAATGGCTTTATCGGACGGAAAGTACGCAAATTCCTAATATGGGCTCTCACACTTTTCCATCCTTAGCATTTTTTGTGTACAAAACGTGTGATGCTGATGTTTACCTTGCATGATCAAGTAAAACAAGTGACAATACCATACAGCTCATGCAGTTTTCAGCACCATCTTTCTTACCATTTTCTCTTGCATAGAGATCCACCCGAAAGTGACCAACTAATGGTTTCTTAAATGTCACAACAACTTTTGGCACCCAAAGTAACTTTTTCTATGGACACTTCAGTATGACTTCTTGAAAATGTTCAAACTACACCGGAAATTATGGATTGTGTAAACTCGCTCGGTCTCTCCCGTGGTTTGTTATCAAATTCTTGATGAAATTATAGTTTAAGTGCAGTATGCACTTTTGAATATACTGGTGCAACCATGAATGTTCCATTCCAGTGCAACCCAACCAAGTCTATAAATTCTGGATCCGGCGACACTTTACAAAATCAGCCGTTGAGATTTTTGGCTGGCTTCTTCTTACCATAACATTAGTCTTCCAAGATATATATATAACAACAAAAGCTCACAAGTATAAAACAAATGAGCAACAACTAATTTGATGACGCTTTCCGTCGCTAGTGCTTTTATATATGATGCTCTTAATGCCCTTGCAAGTAACAAGCGTCGATCTTATGTTACACCAGGAGTGGAGATATTACAGTTTGAGAAACATACACAACTGTGCAACACTACGAACACACATGCATCTTTGTTCCATGTTCTCAATTCCTCCTCTCCTGCCGCCACCACGGCGAGTGGTGGTCGTTGGGGCCGGAGCCCGGGTAGTCCTCCAGCTCCATCTCCATCTCCATCCTCCTGCTGACAGCACCGCGGTCGACCTCTCCCGCTACGACAGCCTGGGGTGAACATAACAAAAAAAATCAGGCCAATTACAGTTTGCACAGTATGGTCCGAAACTGCCACTAGCTTCTTGCATGAACACAAATAGCTAGAATACTATCATCACCTGACCATCTGCTCCACTGGAAGTTGGGATTGCCTCGGTCTTCTGCAGCTGCTCCCTCGGGGCCGCTTATGCATATGGGAGTAAAATCTCTCAGTCAGGCAGAACAATATGACAAAATCTCTAGATGGCATGAGACGATTACCAGCTGAGAATGAAATCGCAGCCCTTGAAGCATGGATGAGGCAGCAGAAGCCGAGCAGAGACACCACTGCCAGCTGCAGCACAGGCAACCTCTCCATCTGTCTCCCCTTAAGCATTTCTTCAAGTGTTCCTACTCTTCTTCTTCTGCACCCATGAGGAGGGCTCATGTAGAGGGCCTGAACAGCAAGTTATTTTATAGCACAGTTAAAAGTTGTCATGGAGCAAGGAGCCACCCACAGATTGAGGCCTCTGAAGCATCCTCCACAACCTTAGTTAGTTGCTATATAAGTAGTTCATCACCTTTTCCAAGTGCTTCATTAGCTCACATGATGAGCTTTTTATGACTGGAAAGGAGGTGGCTAGCATTTCGTAGGCATGCGTGCTGTTTCTTGAAAACTCGGCGAATTGCTAAGGCAAGCACGCGAAAAGGGGCGAACAAAAAGGAATGATACGGCCAGGAATAGGTAAAAGTAAAGCAGAAAGTTAGGGCTCAATGCAATTTCTTGCATATAGGATGGTGACATGGTGCAAATGATTCTGAAGATTTTTCTTCCAATCCGGTACCAGATGTTCTTATCCTGATCGATGCAGCCAGTGCGGGCTTCAGACTTCAAGTAAACTAAAGTTGGACCCTTTATTTTGAGCTCATGAGTGGCTTCAGCACTTAGGTAGATAGTTTGTGAGCCTCCACTAAGCTGAATTAACTTATCTGATCAAATAAAATTGCACTCAAAAGCTCATCAAGTTGGTTTTGCCCAGTTGAACCTCGACACCTAGCAGAGGACATCCTAACGTCAAAGTTTGTCTCTAGTCTGACATGATGAACACTACATGCAAGAAATGGCAAAGAATGTCAGACACTCGCCGGATTATTCGTCTAAGTTATATACAGAACTGAGGACTCAAGCGGCCTTGCTCAGTTTTTCTGCTAGCCGTGAAGCTGTGTTTATTTAGAGAAGAATTTCCAGATCTCCCTCTCGGGGGGCTCGGCGATGAGGTGCACACCGAAGGCCCCCTCCTCATCGACCAATGCTCTGAGCTGCCGCACCGCACTGCTGGAGCCGATGTAATTCTTTTTCACCGCTAGGTACATCACTCCATATGAAGGCACTGAAAGGGCAAGAACAGCAGAGTGAATTAAGGTCATGGTTAAGCAGGTTCAGTTTCAAGGTAGATAGCGAATCCGCATAATGCCCCCCAGGAAAGTACTCACTGCCTTTATTAGGCATCTCATCGCAAGAAAGTATCTTCCCAACAAAATGACACGGAGAATAGCATTAAAAATTTACGAACTTTTTTGATGAGCGAATATAGGTTTTGAAGAGAGCTTGCAGAGTAGGGGATCTCATTCACTAACACTATATCTTATCCACCCTCATCTCCTGTGCAGGCCTCGTTTCCCCTCTCCCATGCACGGCTGCCTGACAGTTTTGTTGATCGTCTTGACGAGGTTTCGTGGCAGATATTGTTCCCATCCTGGCTGCTGCAACCATCCAAAAAGTCATCTTCACAGAACCCTAGTCCTACTCCTGACAATGCATCCACCTCATCCTCTTGTATCACCGACAGGACCGTGTGAAGCTCATCCCAGTCCCCAGCATAGAAATGGATGTCCTGAGGCAAATGTTGCCATGATGGAGTAAGAGGGCTTCCCTGTTGGTGACTCTGTTTGTATCGAGCTTGCTCGAGATTTGCGAACACATTGGGGATTGCTCTGTGTCTTATTATTTCGGCACTGGGATTCTGAAAATGCAGTGTCGAAGCTCCCTAAAAATTGTTTGGAAGGAGGATATTAGAAACATAAGCAGATTGTTTGTGTTTTTCTTAAAAGGAAAGGATATTCATTGCAAGCATCAGCCAAACAGAGTACAGATACTATTTTTTTGCATGGAAACAATGAACAGTAATATACTCCCTCTGTAAAGAAATATAAGATCGTTTAGATCACTATAAACCATGGTAAATGATGTGGGAGACTGATGGTAAGTGAAATCTGAGGTTACTTCGTTAAAGTAATTAAGAGAAAACATGGATATAGCTGCTGTACCTTCAGGCAAGAAAGTATCCCAGGAAGCCCATATCCACAGCCCAGCTGCATCAGTCAGAAAAATATATAACTGAAACAGTTTGCCAAAAGAACCATGTAATCATCAAAGATTCAAAGGAACGCCCATACACGTGTTTGGGAGGACCTAAAGAACAGACCCAAGACCAAAGAAGTAGGTTCGACGCAAGAGCCTTTTACTCAAATAACATGTGTTTCAAAGTCTTTTGTACTCCCTCCGTATCAAAATATAAGACATTTTTTACACAATCATAGTGTCAAAAAATGTCTTATATTAAATTACAGAGATAGTACAAAAGATCAGTTCAAGAAAGGACACTAATAAACAATCATGCATATGAGCATAGCATTATCAGAAATTACATAGACCGAAGCTAGAGTAGTACCTCTAAAACACGTTTGTTTCTGAATGTCAATAGCCCATCACATATCTCATTTTTCAAAACATTAACTAGCTCAAGTGAACTCTCACAGCATTTCAAGGGCCCTAGTGTAAAAGATCACTAAATCCGGACCTTCACCTTTCCAAGTAGTAAGTACAATGATATAACTGGTGGGGCTATTACTATTAGCTTCACCTTTTGGAGTTGCAAGATCTGATCTAGATAGTCCGACAATATCAACAATACTGAACTTGCCCCAAAACAAGTTTCAAAACAGGGAATCACAAATTAGTCAGGGGCCAAAGGTAAGGATATGGAGCAATTCCTATCTTATCCAAACTCCAGAGGAAACACAAACTAGTACCAATTATATGCCTACCAAATAAATAGCCACTATGATTAAATCATAAGTCCATAATAAATCCTTGCACGGTTCAACGGCAATGAACCAAAATAAGCTGGAACAAGTAGCAAGTACAGGAAAAAGTAATCGATCACCTTGAATATATTCATGCCATGCATCTCAATATTGTCGGCCGCATACTTGTATGGACGAACATTCTGCATACCGATGCAAACAATGCCAGCTTAGTCAGCAGATAACGAAATGCAAATGCCCTTCCCGTCAGGAAATGGTCTGAACAGGCAGGACTTGTAACATTGCCATGAACAACAATTGGAAACAAGCAACCTGTGATGGGACGGTCTCGACGGCAGGCGCGACTGGTCCCTCTCGGGCACGATGTCGATGCAGTGAGCTGTGGCCTCGTCATGAGACAGTAAGCCGGCGAGGCACTGGGAGAGCATCGGCGGCGACCGCATTGCCTTGCTTATGGTCAGTCTGAGACAGTAAAATCACAAATTAGGTTGAAAGCAATAGTGCATCACACATCAGCAGTGCCCAATTATTATCTCATCTAAAAAGACATTAACAGTGGCCTAAATAGACGGGAGAACAGAGTAACTAGGCCGCGCCCAATCCCCATTTCATGAATCAAGAAAACATAACCAAGCAACAGCAAGTGCTAGCATCGGAAGACAAGATCAAAAGGAAGGGGGGAAGGTTTTACCTGCGTCAACCGACGCAAGATCTGCCCCCCGGCGGAAAACCCGCAAATCTCGCCGGACGCCGGTGTCGGAGAGGAGAGAAAATGAATCCAAGGAAGGAGGCAGTCGGCTCATCCGGAAACGGAGGAAGAAAGATGTTCGCGCGTGTGAAATTGATGCAGAAATGGACGAGAATCCGAGTCCGAGCGCTGTGTTCGTCTCCGTTCTCTGACAGTCTGATTCACTCGGGCGCTGGCGGGCGAGTTCGTCTCCGTTAATCTCCAGAATGCCACTGCTGTTTTTTTTTTTTTTGGAGAATCGAATGCCACTGCTGTCTGATGGGACAAGGCCTCTAGCATGACCGTGGGCCTAGACGGGCCGTCGCTGCTCGTCCCGGCCGGGTTCCACACATGCCGGCTGTACGGGCCACGCAAGCAGTGGCGCGCGCTCGCGGGCTCCGAGACCAGCGGCCGACCGCGCAGACCGGTGGCTACCCCCTTCCCTCCTCCCTCCCTCCTTCCCTTCCACCCCGCGCGTGCGTGTGCGTGGAACGCGCGAACGGAGCCGAGGCAGGGGGCGCGCGCTGAGGCGGAGGCGGAGGCAGGGGTAAACACCCAGCGGCGTCCGTCTGGCCGTGCGACGGCGCCATGGGTGGCTGCTACTCTGTCATCGCGGCCTCCAGGCTGCTGGCCCGGAGGCGCGCCGCCGCCGCCATCATGCCCGTGGCCAGCGCCGACGACTGCCCCCCCGACGGCGACGCCAACAGCAGCAGCTGCTGCAGGAAGAAGCGCAGGTCCACCAAGTGGAGACGGAGCGCGCCGATCCTGGGCGACGACGACCAGTGCGCGCCCGGCGGGGAGGGCTTCGCCAAGCGGTACCGGCTGGGCGCGGAGCTGGGGCGCGGGGAGTTCGGGGTGACGCGCCGCTGCGAGGACGCGGCCACGGGCGAGGCGCTGGCGTGCAAGACCATCCGCCGCAAGCGGCTGCGCCGCGCCGCCGACGCCGAGGACGTGCGGCGGGAGGTGGAGATCCTGCGGCGCATGTCGGCGCTGGAGGGCGCGGGCGGCGCCGTGGTGCGGCTCCGCGAGGCCTGCGAGGACGCCGAGGGCGTGCACCTGGTGATGGAGCTGTGCGAGGGCGGCGAGCTCTTCGACCGCATCTTCGCCCGGAGCCACTACACGGAGCGCGCCGCCGCCAAGATCGGCCGCACCATCGCGCACGTCGTGCAGCTGTGCCACGACAACGGGGTCATGCACCGGGACCTCAAGCCCGAGAACTTCCTCTTCGCCGGCAAGGAGGAGGACTCGCCGCTCAAGGCCATCGACTTCGGCCTCTCCGTCTACTTCGAGCCCGGGGAGCGCTTAACCGAGGTGGTCGGCAGCGGGATCTACATGGCGCCGGAGGTGCTCATGAGGAGCTACGGCCCGGAGGCCGACGTCTGGAGCGCCGGCGTCATCCTCTACATCCTCCTCTGCGGAGTGCCTCCTTTCTGGGGAGGTGCGTGCCTTTCTTCCTTGCTTCTTTCCACACCTTCTTCAGTATGATGAATGCAGGTCCATTCCTCCTCTGATTCCCAGTGCTCATGTGATTTTATGTCCCGATGAACCGGGCGCAGACACCGATGAGCGCATCGCGGAGTCCATAATCCGGGGTGAAATCAAGTTCGAGAGGGAGCCATGGCCCAAGGTCTCCCAAACTGCAAAGGACCTTGTCAAGAAGATGCTTGATCCGGATCCTGCTACCCGCTTGACAGCAAAGCAAGTCTTTGGTAATGGCCACCTTAATTTGGTGTAGTTTCCAGCTCGCAGACAGGCCAAACAAACACAACATGCACTCACAAATTTGCTACAAGTTCACAGCAAACTTGCTAGAAGTTTGCTACTCCTGCAAATTTGCTTATTTCATGGTATTATTGGGAAACCGGAGGTCTAGCGATGCATGACGAATGGTGTTATGCACTGAACTAAGAGCATTAATTTCTCCTCCTACGAAACAGAGCATCCGTGGCTCAAGAACGCCGACAAGGCTCCGAATGTGTCACTTGGAGAGCTTGTTCGATCCAGGCTTAAGCAATTCTCATCCATGAACAAGTTCAAAAAGAAGGCACTCGGAGTAAGTTGCACGGAACCGGGCCACATTGTTCTTGATTTTTCTTCCAGTGTGATATATTCTTGATGTGAATCATTTTCCAATGATTAATGAAGGTCGTTGCCAAGAATTTACCGGCGGAGGACATCGAGAACTACACTCAGATGTTTCAAATGATAGACAAGGACAAGGACGGTACTTTGACGCTTGAGGAGCTCAAGGAGGGCTTGCGGATAAACGGTCATGCTGTTCCTGAGACAGAGATACAGATGCTGTTAGAAGCTGTGAGTGGCTACTATATGCATTTAGAGGGGTATTTCGGTTATAATAGGATTTGAAAAATAAAGTTAGCAGCGTCATTCTGAACTGGAACTTCATGGGGCATTTCTCACAATTGAGTACTTAGCAGTGGCACATATCTAGCTTTCCCAATCCTGGCACGAGTCTAAATGCAATTGAAACCAAGTATTTATCACGAGCTACATTATGTTCTAACACAGTTTCTTCCTTTTCCAGGGTGACATAGATGGAAATGGCACCTTGGACACTGACGAGTTTGTGACAGTCTTACTTCACATAAAAAAAATGAGTAATGAGGAGTACCTACCTGAAGCTTTCAAATACTTTGACAAAGATGGCAATGGATATATTGAAATGGAGGAATTGATGGAGGCTTTAGGTGATGACGAACTAGGCCCAGATGAGCAAGTGATCAAAGACATTATACGTGACGTTGACACGGATGAGGTCAGTTTAGACTTTAGACAACAAATTAATCAAAAAAAATTGATCACTTAATGCTGTTGTATCTCAAGAAAGTTGACCTTGCTGATTTTGAATGCTGATACTGTAGACACCATTTATCCATATCATATGAGTCCAAGGAAATTTTAAGCTAGCTGGATTGTTTACCCTAAACCCCCATTTTAAATCCTGAAACTGTAGACTGTTTGAGGCTGTTTCCAGTGAAAAGGGCGGCACATACAAAAATTACCTGCTTTCCCCCCTCGTTCTCAGGAAGTGCCAACTAATGTTTGACAAAAGGAAATTACAACACCTTGAAAGAAGCGTAAATCAACAACAATCCCCATAATTTGCTGAAATGCCAGCATTGTTTAGTGTTTACCTAATTCTAGTGTAACGAGAAACCCATGAAGCAATAATAACTTACGTATTGCTGCCATCCATGGGGTTTTCCAGTCCAAGAGTACACAAGCACATTCTTCTATAGGATAACTGACATTTTATATGCATATGCAACAGGATGGTCGCATTAGCTATCAGGAGTTTCAAGTGATGATGAGATCTGGCTCAGACTGGAGGAATGCTTCTCGGCGGTACTCAAGAGCAAATTTCAGCAACCTCAGTCATCAGCTCAACCTCAGTCAAAAGCTGTGCCAATGACTTCTATGGAACAAGACCAATCCAAGCAGCAGCTAACCCACTGAGTGCATCGAATAGAAAGTAAGCATCAGTAGATGACCTAAAACTCAAATCGGATTACTGGGTTTGGAGGACATCAGGATTTAAAGAATAGCTCATAACCCAGTTGCTCGGATGACAGAGTTCCTGAAGCAGAAGCAGAAAACCCAATGACATCGCCCTTTGTACTGAAACCAAAATATTTCACACCTAGGATACATACTAATGTCTTAGGTACGGCCAGATGTAAGGGAAGAAAAGCACTTCCCCAATTTTGACATTTTACTACTGTGTCAAATTTTAAAAGAAGTTGAATCCAATAGAAACGAAAATTTCATGGATCAACATTACGAATTGCCAAAAGGAGCATTCCAATTTCCATCCAGTATACTCTGTGCAATGAACTGATACGCGGCATGCAGAGTTGCCATGAACTCCGGAGAAGTTCAGAAGAAAACTGTTAGTTAAATTAAGACAGATATAAATCAGGGTGACAGCCTCCATTTCGAAACTAAGGTAAATTGTATTGATAGGCTATATAGGCCTCTGTCTAAAAAACATGACAACTGACACGAATTACATTAAGTCACCTTCAAAGCTAGCTGCCAAGGCGTGAAATATCAGTCCTAATTTGGGACCATGTTGCAGACATAAATAATGTCATTATATTGAACCATACCAGCAATTTAGTCGCAAAAAGGTTACCATGATGTTTATTAGAATTACCTGAAAATCTATTTTCTATGGAGAAAGGCGTGAAGTCCACTCTTCCAGGGTCACCAAGAATCATATCTGTTACCATTTCAGCAGTACCTAGCGCCTGAAGTAAAAATGGCAGAAGAAGAATATCATTTTTATTAACTTTTTAAAAAGGGAAATAGCAGTAGAAATTTATCCCAACCACTAAGAATGTGTAAAGCTCATAACTGTATTTAGTCGACCATATCAAGCAACTGTGTGTTGTTGACTTGTTGTTCTATTCAATCAAGGGAGCAAGCTTTCATAGCAAGGGAATGTCTGTTATGTCACTGCAAAGGTCAACAATGTTTTGAGCTACTTGTATTAGCAAGTAAACGACACATTATCTATGTACACGGAGCTTGATCGTGCACAACATGAAAATGCCTTAGGCTTTAGCTTTCTGGTGGTCGAAATTCACCAGAGTCTTCATCTAAGTACAGCCTCATTCTGCGCTCTAGATAGGCGACTTCCAGCTTATGTATATGGAAACTCAAAAAGAAAGCAACGCGCCTGCTGACATATGGTTTACTCTATCTCATTTGGAATATGATGCCCGCATGCAGGGTCATTCAACTGGTCATCTCACAGAACTAGAAATACAAAAAAATGCAACCAGGGTAGCACAGTGCACAATTAATTATATGCAATGAATGGGAACACTCCCAGGAATGGGGGCTGGAATGGGGCTATCTTTGCTGCAACTCCTCTTCTCCAGGAGCATGGAAATGTCATATGCTAAACTGCTTACAAAAATACTAAGCACAAAGAAGGAAAAACATTAACTGGAGCAGGTTTGCCCAATCGACTTACCAAAGCAAGTCCACTTCCTTCATGTCCTGTTGCAATCAAAACATTTGACATATCCGGAACAAATCCAATTACTGGCTTCCCATCAGGCACTGAAACAGATGAGGCATTTCTATCAGATATAGAGTGCAAAGCTAATAACATTGCATTGAATTATCTTTGAGGCACTATTTTGTTGTTCTAAAACCAAAAGGCCTTACTGTAGGGACGGTGCCCAATTCTGATTTCTTTGTCCTCATCAATATCAAGATGAACATTGTTGATGGCAGGAAAGAATTCTCCTGCACGGTCCCATATACTCTTCAGTATGGATTTATCAACCTCCCTTGAAAATCCTTTAAACTCCCTGCTGCTTCCTGTAAAAAAAATATTTGTGATCCGGGATTCATATTTTCTAACATAGTTGGCAAACAAAAAGTTATATAGAAAAGATATTCTTGTATGAATCAAAAAAATATTTACTGAGAAAAAACTTGATCCACTCATCCATAGATTTATTTCAGAAGATCTCCAAAAAGGTCAGCAAAAGGTGGAACAAAGGGATAAGTTTGAACTCTTAGATCACCTAAAACTAAATGCCCTTTTGTATTTAATGTTGCTGTCATTGATATGGATGCGGCGTCATGCTCATCTTTATTGGATGTTGAGGACAAGTGTATGCTATGTGAATTATCGCCCTGATGGTCAACATATCCCAGCTCCATTATGCCATGATTCAGCTTTAGCATGTCAAAATTTTCCAACACAAGCAGATGACCCTGAAATGGATAATGTAAAAATTACACTTTTTATGTTGTGAGATGTTGAAACAATAAGTTCTTAAATAACACGAAGAAAGGACCAGCATGCAAATATTATATTACGGAAGAAATGCTGTCGACAATTTCTCATGGTTTATTTTGAGCTAGCATAAGTATGTTTTCCATAGGATAGTTTTGAGTGCTGGGCGCATGCCTAGTATATGCAAATTTTATTTATAAAGCAGGTATAATCTGGTTTGGTATTAGAACGAAGATGTTAAAATACAAAACAGTGTCACAGAAAGTGCTGCACAACAGAGATTGTTTAAGTTGACTATCTCAAGTAAATATGGAAAGAAAACCATAAAGAGTGGATGTTTTTGTTTCATCCCAGTTTGTTTATACTTACCATGTTAGGGAACAAACTACACTTTTTACTACGAGAATGCCAGGAAAATCAATCAAAATATTTCATATCAAAGGTTAATCAAAGAAATTTGGAATACCACGTACCTTTCGTGGCTTCACAGGAATATCCAGTGAAGAATTTGGTCCTAAGAAACTATGCAATAAGGACCGAGTCCAAGCACCAGAAGCAACTACAGTAGCTTTTCTGCCATATAAGATGTTCTTAGAAGTTTGGACACCTTCAACCCTTCCAGTAACCTCTGATCTGCATAAAGTAAAAGCAACACCATAATACAGAAGAATGGAAATGGCTTCGAAATAAATGAAAAGGCATCCTAACATGGTGATGGATAGCATCATCGTCAAGCTAATTATAGAAGCTACTTTGGTGCAATTCCAGTAGCCTGATAGCTGGTGCTCTTGTTCACGAACAGAAGTAGTCTGAAAAGAAGAGACCTTCATACCTTATCAATGACATGGCAGGATCATTGTAGAGCTCCATATATCTCCCTTTTGGAGTATATGACCTATTGATCTAATAAGAGAAAATGTTAACAGTTAGAGACGTGCAAGGATTCTTCTAACTACACTTATTATAGAAGAATCGAAGTTCTAGAGAAGAAACCTTTTCAATCAAAGACACGGCCTGGAACGCATCGATCTGACGGTCATCAGGTAAGAACATAGCACCACCATCGTTTCCGACACAGAGTGCGGGTTCTAATGCATGCAACGAAGAGGCAGACAAGCACTCCGCATTGATGCCTGCCTGAGACAGAACCTTAGTCTTCTCCTCCAGCGTAGCCAGCTCTTTAGAGGTTCTTCCAACCAATAAGCTTCCTTAACAAAACAAGCATTTCACATTCTGTTCAATCTCTCTCGCCGTGACTGAGAAATAAATAATCTGGGATGTGCATATAGTGAAGATGCAGTAAGACATGCCATCGAAGAAGTAAGTTATTTCAAGTATCATATAGCTGCACATAGCATCAGAAGGGTCGGAGTCCAAAGTAGCCTTATAATTAACTAACTTAGTGAAATCTACTGGACCAGAGGAGATGCAATTAACCTTTTACTGCCATTTCGAGCTACACTAAATATACTGCTACTGTACTCTGTAGTTATTCTACTGACTAGTATTTGAGGGGGGAGAACTTAATTCGCAATTCGATCACGAGTCAACGACTTATAGACAACCGTCACATGGCTTTACCTGTCCTCATCCATCCGAGGCTCTCACGCGCGCCGCCGGCGCGGAGGCCGTCCATCTCGGCCGCGAGCTCCTCCCACAGCTGCTTGCTCCGCACCGCCAGGTCCCACGTGTCGCTCCCGGGCGTCCGGTGTGACATCCACACGTACCCCTGCCCTGCAGCAGCAGCACCGCCGAACAAAATCAATCAGAACCCTAGGAGATGCATCCAAGCTGACCTCTGGAGGTGATGGTACCTGCGCCGGTGGCGCCGGAGCAGGGGACTGCGGCGTCGGCGACGGCGACGGAGAGCGGGGTGTGGAGGAGGAGGTGGCGGGCGATGGAGAGCCCGACGATCCCGGCGCCCACGACGACCACGTCGTGGTGGGAGGCGGGGGCGTGGGCGGAGGCGGAGGCGCTGGATCGGAGGGCCGGGAGCGGGCGCCGCCGCCGCGGGCCGCGGATGGAGAAGCGGTGGCCGCGCGAGGACCGGGAGGCGGATGGGAATGGCGCGGCGTTGGGGCTCGGAGCGGGGGAGAAGGCGACGGCGTCCATCGGGAGCAGAGACCGGAGGCGATCAGGCGAGGGAACGGCCGAGGTACTGTGGATGTGAGCTCGGGAGGAGGGAGTGGCACCAGGTCAACGGCCTTCATTTTGGGAGTAGTAACGAAGCTGACGTGGCCTGTCTGGCCCCACCATCCAAAAGTAGGCCGTATTCGTATCGGGGGTCAGTTCGAATCTTCCTGGCCCACGCTAACTGGGCCGGTCATCATGTGTACGCTTACGGCCTGTTCGTTTTTTGAGAGAAAAAAAATGCCCCGGCCACTTAATGTGTGTATGTGGAAAATCCTATACGCCGCTCGCTAGGGAGCTCCTACCTGCCGCTCTCTGCGGCAGGGAGTCGGGGGCACGCACAGAGGTTCGCCCCGACTGGGCCCGCCCAATTGTTTTTCTTGGCTAAAAAAAATAGATAGTATCATTTTTTTCTTTTTTCTCTTTTTTCTTTTCTGCTTATTTCCTTTTTTTCTCTTTTGAAAATCAAACAAAAAAACCTTGAATTTCTCAATCATTTTTTGAAAACATGAACGTTTGTTAAA